TCCCTTGGTTACCAAGGAAACCATTTCACAGACATCCACATAAATAAACTGTAGACGGTAGGAGGAAACACCACCAATATAGAAACCATTTCACTTGATCATTTTTATTGCTATGAGAAAAATATCTATCCCTGAGGCCAAGTGTGACCCCCCCCCCACACACACCACACCGCCACCGCCTCCTGTGAGTTCTGGGCTCGCTGTGAGTCCCTGGCCCCGGAAAGCGAGGGCAGAGCGCTGGCTCTGCCGCGCCCGCAGGCCCCGAGTCCGGGATGCGCCTCATTTGACCTCATTTTCTCCCCGCCGCTGCTGTGCCTCGCCCCGGTCTCCACAGGCCTGACCCCGACAAGCCCTTGCAGGTGACCGGAGCGCTGGGAGCCGGAGCAAGAGGCAATTCAGGGAGCCGGGACTGACTGCGGAGATTGCCCGAGCACCGCAGAACCTCCAGGTTAAGTTTCCTCCAACATGTGGTTTACTCACCGCGAAGAGCTCAGCGGCAAAGGGTACCATAGTCAAGTTGGTGGGGACTTCCCTACTTCAAGTTATAATTTGCTAATTCGGATCTATTGCTTTTAAATATCGAGTTGCTGAGACCTCTATCAATGCGGGCTTAATTTCATCCCACTGATGAAGGATGTTTATCAAGGCGCCTGCGGTGAGAACTGAGTGTGAAAATGTCAGTTTTATGCCTTTTGATAAGAATTACCGAAGTGGAAGGCTTATTAGGCGATTACAAATTTTGCAGCTGCTCACAGCCCAATTAGGCAGCTCTTCGCGGTGAGTGGAAGCTGTGGGGGTCAGGGCGGGTTGGTGTTCCCTCTCTCCAGACCTGGACCTCCAATCAAGGTCGGGCGCCGTGGGATCCAGACCCCTTCCCTGCCTCCTGGGGGTTTAGAGGTATTTACTGTGCACGTCCCAACTTGCTCAGAGGCGGCTGCTGCCCAAGATAGGTTTCACTCCAAAGAGGCTAAGACTGTCTTCCCGCCCTCCCTTACAAAAAGCCCCGTGATCCAGGGGTGCGGGTGGTTGCCCTGGGTGGACCTGTCTCTCTGATTTTCATTTCAGTTTAGTAGCTAGGAACCGTCACAACGCGAGTGATTGCTTTCCCACCTGGAGACAAACTAGACGGTTTTTTGGTCTGTCTCACTACGTTTAAAATCGGAATCAATTGGCGTTAGGGCTAAAACACTCATACAAAGGAGGAGGAAAAAAACAAAAACCTTTCTGATTTTAGCCCAAGCACCTAAAGTGGCAAGTGGTAGTCTGCACACAACCGGCGAACTTTCCCTTGCTTGCGGGGAGGCGCTCAGCCTAGACTTCCACAGCAAATACTTGCACACCCCCTCTTCCCACCTACACACGCGAACTTCAGCCAAAGGCTTATAAGGCCCAAGACACGGAAATTGACTCACCGCCCAGAGGCCTGTTGGGCGAGGCTGGGTGCGAGCGACTGCACCGCGGACGTCTGCGTCCTGCCACGCGTCTGCAGTGAAGCTACGCCAGACCAGGGTTTCAGGTCTTCCGCTCTCATCTGACGACCATTCTTCTTCCCAAAGACCAGAAGCCTCTAAAAATGTACCATTTCCCCCACTTACGCAGAGATAGGAGCTCTTAGATCAAGATTAGTATTTTGAAAACCTGATTGAGAGCCGCCTGATTAGGCGAGGGTGGGAGGGAAGGCCCCATAAACGCCGGTGCCCCCGCCCTGCTTCCCCAAACAGCTCTAGCGGCTCTCGGGATCTCCAAATGACCTAGAGATAAATTCTCCTGGATAATAGCCAAGTAGTATCCCAGATCCACTTTGCAAACTCTAACAGAAAGAACTGTAATTAAATCTCCAAACTGGATCTTTCTTTTTCAGTCCCCTTTCAATGAAATACTGCTCTGCACACCGCCTGATGGCTCCAACCCTCTGCAGGACTCTTGCTTTCCGTTCGGAAGAGCCATCTCGAGAACGAAGCTATTTCATGGAAAACGCATTATGTGAATTTTCCCCCCAAAATACTGAGTTTTGCACTTGATGAAAAACACACGTCTCTCTGGTTCCCACGCACAAGTTAGCTTTTTGAAAAGTCAGCTCACCCCAAGCTTTCAATTTTCTAAGGGCACAGATGAATTATTGCGTCCCCCTTCCTCCACTGGGTGAATTTAAACGAGGTCTCCCCGAGAGGACCTAAGGGGGGATGTCTAATATTAGCGTGTGCTCAGCTGCCCGAAAAGGAAAACATTGGCCATAGGAAAATATTCTGAGGACCTAGTGTTTATGGGAGAAAAATGCAATTGACTTAAAACTAAATATGCACTAGTTACTCTGCCCGGACCTTTATACAGGAGTCTAT